GACGGGAACTCAATGGTAGAGCGTGTTTGTGTTAATGTCTATTTCAATTCTGTTATTCATTTTTCTTCACCCAGCAGACAATGAGCACCCGGAGTATGCTTTTATGTTTGATATGCGGTTTTGATTTTCCAGCAGCATTAACCTTAGAATTAAAAATGTTTTATTAGTGCAATATTATCGGGGCCTTCATAGAAACAGAAAGACAATAGAGCATTGCAACTGAAGTGGATTACAATCATTACAGATTCAACTCCTCGCACATAAGAGTTGAATTTTATTCATCAATACATATTCAAGAAATTCGATTATTCAATTTCACCCACAACAAACCATTTTAATCATTTTCCCTACAGAGAAAAAAAGAGTGCTTGATCAAATGACTATCGAGATCAGAATGTGTCCAGCCTGATTTTTGAGAAGAGACATCTGCCAAGAAAATAAAATAAATGAAAGAAGAGCTAATAATCACTTGAGTACATAAAAAAAGAACTCTTAGATATACCTGCAGAGATTGATGATGTACTTATCATTACTGTTGGGAGCGGGAGATAATGACTTTGAGCTCTTCATCTCCCATTTCTTGTTGTAGCTTCTGAATTTTCGTGGCTGACTCTTCCACGGATTTTACACACCCGTGTACCTCAATCTTCGAGAGAGATAGAATATCCCCGAAACTGGAAGGGATTTCCAACTGTTGGCAGCTTCGCAACACTAGGTGTTCAAGTCGGGGGAAATCATCACTTGAGGCATTCCAATATTCAATCTGTACCCCATCCAGTTCCAAGAATCTGAGTTTTTGGAATCCATCTTCACTTTCGTTCCACTCTTTCCCCTCGAAGATATCATCTCGTAACTTGAGAACCTCAAGCTCAGGTAATTTCCCAATTATCTCCATTTGCTCCGAAGATAAATCAAAGTTACGGAGAGTTAGATATTTGAGACTCCTTGGTAAACTGGTCAAATCGGGAATGGCATCATCTGGAATATAACTCGGGCGGAAAGATATATTGAGGAATTCAAGCTGCTCAAGGAACTCTAAGGATAGCGATAGTTGTTCTCAGATGAATCCCAAAAGAACGTAATTTTACATGTCAATCTTCGGAGATGGGGTGAACACTTCAAGATTTTCTCATCATTTTCATCAGAAATGAAAATAGAAGAAAAATTTTCTAGATTATTTTCTTGGAACCTCTCATTCATAGCTGCTCGCATACGCCAAGATTCACTGAATTTTGCACCGCCACTGAAATGCACATGTCGCAACTTTATTTTATTAAAAAGGATCTCCGGTATTTCATCCACCTCTTTATTATCCACAAAAAGAAATTTTAGGTTCTCAAATCTCTCTATTGATGGCGGTATAGATGAAACTGCCAAGAACCTTAGAAGAACCTGCACATCCATTCCTGTTGGATTATGCATTCTCAAATCTAGGGTGGACAAATCCAATACCTTCAGAAGTTTCAAGCTGGAAATGATGAATGCGGAGGGATCAGGTAAATTGCCTAGCAGAGAGCGAACATGTAGCCCAAAAGGTCTAGGCAAAGTAGGATAAGAGCGAGAGTAAATGCTTAGGCGATGGTGCTGCTCGTATATTGAAGTTTGACTGAAGAACCACAATGTAGCATTATCAGTTGTAATGTGATGATAGTGTCAAAACATCATCAGCAACGGCAGCAACATTGACATGATCACAACATCAATTACCCCCATTAGTAGATAATATAGGAAAAAAAATTATTAAAAAAAAAAAAGAGCAACGGAAGGGAGAGAGGGAGAGAGAGGCTTACTTTTGGATCACCTTCAAAAATTTCTCTCTTTCTCCTATTCTAGAGCACATTTCACGCACTACATCATGGAGGTTGCAAGATTTGACTCCCCCGCCTGAGCTTCTTTTAGAAACTAGTACCAGGCTCCTATTAATGAGATCCACAAGGTATTCCTGCGCCACATCCTCAGAGCTCATATGTTCTCTTTTCTCTATGAATCCCTCAGCGACCCAAAGCAATATCAACTTCCGTACCGAGATTTCCCTATCTTCCTGGAACATGCCAAAGTAAAGAAAACATGGTTTCAAATGCATTGGNTAATTCCATCGGCAACCCATAGATATATCAACTCCCGTACAGGGATCCCCACGTCTTCTTTGAAAGTTCCGAAGTAAAGAAAACATGGTTTCAAATGCATTGGTAAATGATTGTAACTAAGCTCTAGTATATTCTGGTACTCATTTTGCCCTTTAGACATGTGTGAACTTATACTTTTTGCAACTTCTTTCCATATGATCTTTTTCTTCTCTAAATTTGCAAGAACTGCAGCTATAACAACTACCGCAAGTGGTAATCCATCACAATCTCTTGCAATTTGCTCTCCAGTGTCTTTCAATTCTTCAAATTCTTCAGGGCATCGCTCTTGTTGGAACACCATCAACTGTAGTAACGTCCAACTTTCATGATGCTCTAAGAAACGAAGACCATTAACATCTGCATGAGGTGAAGCTTGGGAACCCACATTTTCATGACGAGTGGTGAATAATATCCTGCTTCCATTTCTATCATCTGGAAAGTATCTTTTCACATCATCCCACGCATTTACACTCCAAATGTCGTCCATGACAATGAAGTAACGCCTCCTCTTTAGACTTTTGTAAAGGTTTTCACCCATTTCTTCGTCCTCCATGTCCATGATTGAGTCTTTGTTAAGTCCGCTCATTGTAGTCAAAATGTCAATCAAAATATTTCTTCTTTGATAAGTTTGAGAGACAGCAGACCAGGCACGTTTGTAAAAATGATAAACAATATAAGGATCATTATAGAGTTTCTTTGCCAAAGTTGTTTTACCTAGTCCAGGCATCCCAAAAATGGAAATAATTTGTAGGCATTCGGGCCCTCGAACGAGTTTCTCCGTGATTTTGGTTACCTCATCCTCTAAGCCAACGACAATCTCGTCTCCAGTCGAAGTATATTGTAATGGTGTTCCCTGACTAGGATATTGTGCACCCTCTAGCGCTCCAGAATCATACTTCATTTCTTGGAGTGTCATCCTAGTAAGGTTAATCTTCTCGAGGACTTGTGGAAGCCTGACGGTGAGATACCATGCAGGAGCAAATGAGTTGATAACGTATTCCACCTCATACGCTATGTCTCTAATTCGCATCAAAAATTCTTCAAGCTCTGGATACCTTTCCACCTGTATGTCGTCAAGGAAGGTTCGCAAGGACTTTAACTCGTCATGGATTGCTATAATTTGATCCTTCACATCAACAATCCTGTCATCCTCGTGATTCGTTAGATCCTTGAGATCGTCCAGGAGAGAATCAACAAGAAACAGCGAAACCACACCACTCTTTGGGGTCGTCACACAACCTGATAATATATTTGAGGCTGTGATGCAGTGCTGTTTGATTTTTTCTTTCACGAGCTCCACAGTTTTCAACATCTCAGAAAGAGCCTGATGCATTCCATTCACCGAAACTCTCTCTGTGGTGAAAAAGAAGGAATATAAGAAACCTCCTATGTCATTGGCCGCAGTTTCAATATCTGTCAATACATTCTTGGTTGTCTCGAGATCAGTGGATTGTGATGGTGTATCCCCAAGAAAGGTGATAAGAAATTTAAGCTCCGTCTTAAGAGTTTTAATTGAATCCTTGAAGCGAAGAATGAAATACGGCTGAAGGCGAAGTATTTCTTCGAAGATTTCTAAGAGAAGGTCAATAAAGACTGCAACAATTTCATTAGGATATTGAGTGATCTTAGACTTTGGGACTCGAAAAAATACTTTAAGCTCTGCCACAAAAGATTTGAACAACATGAAAAAGTTCCTATCTTCTTCAGTATGACGACTGTGACCCCAGCAAAGCTT